TAACATTCTCTCCAAGAGTGCTGTGTCTCTTATTTTATACTCTCTCCAGAAGTGGGCATTGTAAAGCTTGTTTGGTTGGGGAATATGCCACACATACAATGTCTTAATGTGTTAATTGGTATTTCTTTAATTAAAGCAGGTCAAATAGGGAGATTGAACATTTTCCATGTTTTTTTCACTATGTATTTTTTATATAATTAGTCCCTTTCTATTCTTTGCCCATTTTTCTATTAAGGCTTTAATATTTTTTAATTTCTTGTATATCTATTTTTTGTCCTAAATGGGACAACTTTTTTTTTCAAGATATTTGTTTTGCTTTTTTTAAAGTATAGAAATTTTAGACTGTGTTGTAAATTTTACATACATTTATTTTTCAATTGAATTGATATCTAAAATGTGTGTTCTCACCTTGATCAGGTAGTCTCTAGTATTTTTAGCGTAGTTTTTATTAGGTTTAGATTTTTTTAAAAAGTAACTCCGTAATCCTGTAATCCATCTGAGTGGTAGTATAACATGAGATAGAGAAGCAAATTTAGTTTAAAATTTTTCCAGTATTAAAGAAAAGTGTTAAAGTATTAAGAGAAAAGTGAAAATAAAATTTGTTCAATTTTGAATCTAAGTGAAATGAAAATTTATACAACAGTATAGTAGTCCCTTTAGTCTCCAGATAGAGATAACCTGAATTTATCAGTGCCACTGAGAAAGTTGTAGCAGTTAGCTTCAAAAACATTTCATAGCCAAATTTTTTAATAATAAACCCTTTCAGATTTTAAAGATATAAATAATTTTACTTTAGAAGTACACATTATTAGAATCTGGAAAATGAAAAACTTGTAAGATTTTCCAGTTTGTTTGTTTTTAATTTACCATAATGATATTAAAACCTGATAGATTTAACAGAAAAAAGCAACATCCAGACCCATCCCAATTTTGAATAGGAAAATAAAAACTGCAAATAAAAACTGTTATACCAAAGGAACAATTTATCCTACAAGTACAAAGATGATTAAATGCTGGGAGGTGTTATTGTAATACATCACTGAAAAAAGGTAAGGAAGTGAATCATAGTGTCCGTTGTGGCTTCTTTTACACAAGAAATGTACGTACAAGCTGAGCATCCTAATCCAAAAATCTGAAATGCTCCAAAATCCAAAATGTAATATTCAAAAAGTTTCAGCTTTTAGTATTTGGAATTTTGGATTGGTGATGTTCAAATGGTAAAGTTTATGCAGATATTCCAAAATCTGAAAAACTCTGAAATCAGAGATACTTGTGGTCCCAAGCATTTTGGATGAGAGAGATTTATTCTTTGTCTGTCTCCTTGACTGACAATAGAACTCTTTTCCATCTTTTTGTGGTTGTTATTATTTTTAAGCAGAATTTTCATTTTAAGCTTATTTTGATATGGGTTTGTTCACTTACATTTGTATGTATTTTAATTAAAACCCAGGAAATTTTAATACACATATTTTTCATAACTGGAGTATTTCATCTTACTATATTTGGTTTTTCTGTCTTTCTCCCTTTTTGGATTTTTTATTGTTTTATTTTGTTTACTTTTTTTCTTCATTGACTTTGTAAGGTGTACATTATGTTTTAAATTTTAAAACAATTACTTTAAATTCTTAAACACTTCAATCTGTCTTTGCAGAATAGTCAGTCAAAACTTAAGAGTTGTGTTTTCCCTTTCATTTATAAGAGGGAATTTTGTATTCTGTATCATTAAATTAAACTTTTTGTATTTTACTCTTCTTTCTTATTTTTCATCTTGTCAGTCCTGTAGCTTTTTATTTCAAAAAGAAGAAACCTTGTTTTCTGCTAACACTAAGTAATTTACTAAAATTTTGTTCATGATTCCTATTTTTAGATGACTTCCTTCTCTTTGATCACTCTCTTTGAATCTGGCACTCTCTTGGAATCATCAGAATGTTGTTCCCCATGAGTGTTTCCCAAAAGACAGTGGATGTAGATACAGCCCCACATTTTTTTTCATCTGGGGGGCTCATCCACTCATCTGCATAAGTTAATACATACTTCCCTGAGTTCAGTTTCCAGAGTCTTTTAATGGGATTTTCTTCTAGATTGCCTGGTTGTGTGCTATTCTATATGGGGGGAGCATGTTCCCTGCTAGTAGTCAAAGGTCCTTATATCTATCTCATAAACTGTTTCTCTTTTCTCCTCTCCCCACCTCTGCTGTGCATTTCAATGCTGTCAGCCCTTCTTTATGTGCCAGATTTTTATTTTTTTCGTCTTTTTATTCATTTACATTTATGAAACATAATAAATACATTCATGGCGGGGAGTTGATGCATGTACATATCACATCTTGATCCTTTTTATATTTTGCCTTCCTTTCCCTTTCTCCCATCTCCCCCCTTCCGGTAATTTTCTTTTTCACTTGAAAAAATAAGCTTGGATACTCATCACAAGTAAACAGCTAATCACATAAAAATAAACTTGGATAGAAATCCTAACAAAGTAACAAAATGGTATTTTTTCCTACTTTGGTATTGTCATAGGCTTCTAGTTTAAAAAAATAATGTACACATGTTCCTAACTCAATGGTAACATCCTTACACAACTATAGTACAATATAAAATAATTTTAAGTAAATATTTATATCATACCAAATCCCCATAAATTCTACTAGTGTCCAGTGTTTGTCCATCATTCAGATCAACCTTTTCAATCCTTTAATTTTCCACATCTTGCAGAATGCAGATAATAATTGTTAGCGTATCTGTTAAAGTTCCAAAGACCCTTGCTAGTTTTTTAGTCTTTGACTACTAGATCAAGAAACAAAACAGGGCCAGAGATTTAGCTCAGTGGTGCTGCTGCCTTCCTCACAAGCACAAGGACCGGAGTTCGATCCCCCATACCAAAACAAAAAAAAAAAAAAAAAGAAAGAAAAA